TGATACACTCATCCAGTCTGTGTTACACTCACCCAGTCTGTTGTACACTCACCCAGTCTGTGGTACACTCAACCAGTCTGTGGTACACTCATCCAGTCTGTGGTACTGACACCCATTCTGTGGTACACTCACCCAGTCTGTGGTACACTCACCCAGTCTGTGGTACACTCAACCAGTCTGTGGTATACTCAACCAGTCTGTGGTACACTCATGCAGTCTGTGGTACACTCACCCAGTCTGTGATACAATCACCCAGTCTGTGGTACTAACACCCATTCTGTGGTACACACACCCAGTCTGTGGTACACTCACCCAGTCTGTGGTACACTCACCCACTCTGTGGTACACTCATCCAGTCTGTGGTACTAACACCCATTCTGTGGTACACTCAGTCGGTCTGTAGTACACTCAAACAGTCTGTGGTACACTCACCCAGTCTGTGGTACTAACACCCATTCTGTGGTACACACACCCAGTCTGTGGTACACTCACCCAGTCTGTGTTACACTCACCCAGTCTGTGGTACACTCAACCAGTCTGTGGTAATAACACCCAGTCTGTGGTTCTGTGGTAATAACACCCATTCTGTGATACACTCACCCAGTCTGTGGTACACTCACCCAGTCTGTTGTACACTCATCCAGTCTGTGGTACTAACACCCATTCTGTGGTACACTCAACCAGTCTGTGGTACACTCAACCAGTCTGTGATACACTCACCCAGTCTGTGTTACATTCACCCAGTCTGTGGTACACTCACCCAGTCTGTGGTACACTCACCCAGTCTGTGGTACACTCATCCAGTCTGTGGTACTAACACCCATTCTGTGGTACACTCACGCGGTCTGTGGTACACTCAAACAGTCTGTGATACAATCACCCAGTCTGTGGTACTAACACCCATTCTGTGGTACACACACCCGGTCTGTGGTACACTCACCCAGTCTGTGTTACACTCACCCAGTCTGTGGTACACTCACCCAGTCTGTGGTACACTCACCCGGTCTGTGGTACACTCAACCAGTCTGTGGTAATAACACCCAGTCTGTGGTTCTGTGGTACTAACACCCATTCTGTGATACACTCACCCAGTCTGTTGTACACTCATCCAGTCTGTGGTACTAACACCCATTCTGTGGTACACTCAACCAGTCTGTGGTACACTCAACCAGTCTGTGATACACTCACCCAGTCTGTGTTACACTCACCCATCTGTATACACTCACCCAGTCTGTGGTACACTCACCCAGTCTGTGGTACACTCATTCATCTGTGGTACTAACACCCATTCTGTGGTACACTCACCCCGGTCTGTGGTACACTCAAACAGTCTGTGATACAATCACCCAGTCTGTGGTAC